TCTATTCCATATTAATCATGGTAATATATATACGAAACACATTTTTGTAAACATTATAAAAACTTAAATTTTACAAAAGAAAATAATAAATAAATAACCAAAATATACATAACATTTCAATATGAACAAATGTTATTTTAACATGAAATTTCAAGTGGTTTCCATGCGGTTTTCATATCATTTCAACATGTCTTCATGTTATTTTAATATGATTTCATAGTTAATTCAATATTAAATTCGTATTGATTCAACATGAGTTCGTGTTATTTCAACTTTTAAAAATGTTAATTTAATAAGAGTTTCACAATCAAATTGATTCAACTAGAACAACACAATTAAAATTAACATGTTTCCGTGTTATTTGTAAGCGAACAATTGTTATTTTAATTTTATTGTAAAATCATGTTGAATCAACATGAAACCATAATGAAGCAAAATCGTTAGGAAATGATTTTACAATGATTTTTTTCTGTGTGTAGTTCATATAAAAATAAGGCCCCGGTTAAATGTCGATACGTCGAAGTTCCTACTCCAGTCTCTGTTATTTGGTATTTCATTTTCCAAAGTATAAACAACCTACTGGTATAGTCTCCATATACAAATGCTGACCATTTTTACAAATTTTGAATATACATCACATACTGGAAGGTGTAAAAAGTTCGTGCCGGCTGAAATTATCAATGGTTTTCACTTCTCCAATTTGAGCTCATATTTATTTTTATATCCTCCTCTGCAAGTTCTTTACTAATCGGTGACTTACTTAGCTTTATTACATTCCCATACTAAAGACCTGCTTATTTATTGTTCTGACAAACGAGGAGCAATTTATTTTTAGATAATTGTGCGTGGAGAACAGACAAATTAAGTCGACATGTTTTGGCTGCTAGCGATGACAGAGAGAATTATTAACATTAACAACAACAATAAATTAAAAAAGACACAACAAATGAAACAAGTCATAACAAAAAATGATAACTAAATCGATCACTAAAACAAAAAATGGAATATGGAAATGAACACATGGACACTGACACCACTAAATGACGACGACGATGATGAATAACAGAGTACCATGCGATTACATATGACACAAAGGGGGACACAAATACAACTAAGAAACCCCCAACCAATTGAAATCAATTCCGATGGACATAGTGGCGCTGAGATCAACGACTACGACAACAAACCACATGCTGCAACTGCAACGAACCATTCAAGTATCTGAGAATACTCTCGTTGGCAATTACAACAACAATGCATTTCAAATGTCATGTTTTCGCATCCGAAGTTTCAGTGTTTGGTGTTAATGCGTGTGAAAAGTAGATTCATCTGTACAATCGAGCACAAACACTTGTTTCACACATGAATCGAACGAGGGGGCTAAGGAAACTAACGAAGAATGTCTCATTTATGAAAATGCATCATTTCCATTCTCCAAACGATGGCATGCATTTTTTTGTATGAGTGTCAAATATAATGGATGTCAATATTTTTATTTAAATGGGTCAAAAGTTAATGTTTGTATGACAATATACAGTCAGCGTAATTATATGGTGTGCAGGCATGTCTATAGCAAGTAGCTTCTAAAAGTAAGAGGAAAAAACGTCGTTTAGTTCTTTTTTTACTTTAAATCTGCACATGCTAAAGTTGTAAAATATTGTATATTGTATAGCCAAGAAATTAAGTCAAATAACTAAGGTTCGATACCAATGTATAGAGGATATTGTTGCTAAGGATCTATAGATGACGTTAAGGTTTAACCCTTCTTTGCAGGTGGATCCGTTGGGCCGTATACCCGAGCGGTTACGGTCACTGTCCTGTGTGGACTATTGGGAGGTTGTGTTGTTGGGTGCGTGTGGTGCGGAATGCTCGTGAGGGTATTCTGGTGTTTGTTTGTCTGTGCCTTTGGGTTTACTAGTCCCGGATCATGGATCGAAACTAGTAGGGTTACCATACCCGAACTTTGAAGGCTTGTGGAATGATCGCAGGCTTGTGGAGTAATTGTTGGGAGGGGTAATATGCATGGTGGCTACGAATGTCGTAAGATGTTGGTGGCAATTTTTGCTATTTATCCCCTTTCAGCGATTGTTCCATTGTAGAGAGCCTGCAAATATTAGTTATAATGGTAGTAGCTTTGGCTATGAAGCTGGGCAGGGGTTATAGCCAATGGGTGACCAGTCTCGAACTGTTTGGGCTTCTACTGGTAATAGCTTCGGCTATGAACCAGACCGAAGGTTTCGGTAGCACGGGTGTCAGGGACCCTAGGTTTGCGGATCTAGCATTGCAGTTGGTGTTGGCATCGTGCTGGAGGTGGCTTATACCCATCGTGCTGGAGGTGGCTTATACCCAAATCGGGTAAAGCTTCGGCTCGATGAGGACTTGCATTGCAACCGGGTGTCTGCAGGAGCAGGAGTTTTAGATGGACTCTGCTCCTCATCCAAGAAAGCGATCACGTCCAAATACGTGTTATCGATTGGTACCTGCATTTTGGAGTGGGGGCGTGGGTTGACGCTTTGTATTAACTGGTGTTTATAGCACAAGACCGCAAGGTACGTACTCTAAGCATCTTGTCTATCGGTCCGCCTGGTGTGCGGTCCGGGCCTAACCGATTTCACAAAAACTTTGCATATCGTAATATTCCCAGCAAACTTAGTTCAAGATCGAAGATGGGAAATATCGGTCCACTCCTTCTGGTATCTCCCGCACAAAATGGCCAACATTTTGCAGGAAATGAATTTCATAATACTTCTTTGTGCAAAATAGTCAGGCGTAATCCCAGTTTGTTTGTTTTTTACCTTTTGCAGAAATGCCCATATATTGTAAATTGGATAAATAAGCACATAGCTGTCACAAATTATAACGGTAAATGTTCTGACCCTTGATATATTTCGGTTTATTTGTAAGAGGATTTGATACCCACTGAGAACCAAATTAGAACCAAATTGGTTAAAAACTAGCCCATAAACCCCAAAATAGAATCAAAAATACTTAATAAACTGTATGCTATTTATCATTCTGAGTTTTCATTGAATTTAAACGCGAAAAAGTTCAACATGACATATCCCTGTATAATAATTGATATTTTGAAAGACTTACATATGTATGTGCTCCAATAGGTTATGGGCTATTCTGAGCTACTTGATCGGACATTCCCCATATAGATTTCGAACGTTTTGTTAGTATCGGGCTTATTTCGCAAAAATAACCAAAAAACAAATCATGATCTGGACCAATCATATTTTTTGATGTTATTTTGTGTGTAATATATTTTTCAACGGAAAAAGAGATAATCATTCAAAAAAAGGGTTAACTCAAGGATAGATCAACGATACACATCTTCAATAAATACTTTTTGTATAACATCTAATTATTGTTGTAATATTTTAAAAATTCCGAACCCAATTTTGAGCTTTAACCATAATTATATTTGAACATTTTATTATATGTTCTCGATTATTAATTGTTATTGTAATTTTATATAATCTTGAAATTTGTTATGATTTGAGGCCATTTATGTTTCCCATAAAATTAAAAATTATTTAAATGGGACAATTTTGATGAACTCTGAATAAAATGCGTGCCCCGACAGCGGATGTGTTTGAAAACATTTCAAAATGCACGAGAGACAAAACAAACATAAAATTAAAGAAAAAAGAAGAAAACGCTTAAACTTCATCACTTGTACGAAAATTGTAATCGATTGACAAGATCAAAGTGCTTTGATGTGGCCTCACCATTTTCACACCCTCTATTTGTTTTCGATTCCAGAGCTTTCAATTTTCCTATCGTATATCTCGGCCGATGGTGATGATGATGACGACGACTACGGAGTCCGATAATTCATGGGGCTGAATGGCGAAAGGGTCTACCCATCCATTTATTTGAGCAAATGTATGTATGTCCGTGCCTATGTTCGGTTCTCTCTAATGGTGATGGTGTGTGAGATGGGCGCTATTGCGTGCCAAGTTGAGAATCCGTAAGTAAGTCCATGTAGTTGTTCTTGTAATTGTAATTGAGTTGTTGGAAGATCAACCCACAACACACATAAATCGATTGGCAGAACGCATATTTACCAGTGTCAATTATTATGACAGATACATATGTATGTACATACGAATATATGCCTTGTTCATTATCTGAGTACTTTTGTGTGTGTGTGTGGTTGTAAAGAGCATCTGTGAAATTGTCTTTATTCTGTTCAAAGTAGAATTGAATAAATTTCAATAATTTAAGTACAGCTCTTAGCTCTTTGGAATATTGTGCGTTATTTGGAATCCAGCAGTTGTCGCGATCGGAAGCACTGGAATTCGTTAAAGATTCCTGAGTTGAAAAGTAACTGAAAAAACACATCCTCTTTCAAAATTTAAATGACAAGATAAATCAATATGAAAAGTTGTCTAAACGAAGTCAATATATAAAGGACTATAAAAGGATTTACACTCAAGGATAAATTATTTAGAAAATTTATATATCAATGGAAATAATATTTTTTTAAAAAGACAACTCTTTAACAAGACTTTTCAAGAAATAAATAAAGAAAAAAAGCGAAAAAGTGAATCTAGTGATAAGCCAAGAATGAAACAAGAACACTAAAAACGATGATAATAAAAAAATCTTGATCTTCCTCTATATTGTCGATTAATAAGCATACATACACGGACATGTGTACACTCTTAAAAATATATACATACGTACATATGTGAAAAAAGTTTGCTCTTTTAGTGAAACAAATATGACAATACAATTGATTAAATGACAAAATATATATATTTGTACATCGCCCTGTGTTGATTATTTGAAGATTTCAGTTCAATTCAGTTAGTGATTAATTTATTGTACCATTCGATCTCATTTTAGTTTGCTGGTGCTTCATTCGGAATTAAGGCGTTCTTTGGCAACGACGTCAAGAACCTCTAACATAAAAAATTAAACGTGTTACGAAGTGATTAATTTCATACAAATTATTATAAGGAAGTTCAATACACACATCTCTGCCATCAATTAATTGACGTCAAAATGCAGGCCTTTCGTTGGGGCCTAGTGGGAGTTGCACTGCTCGTCGTTGCTTGTGCGAACGCAGCAACAATTGTAAGTGAATATGAAAAAAAAAATCATTTATTTTTTATATTTTGAAAAGTGTTCGCATTCGTTGTTTAAGTGTTCGGAATATAAAAGAAAGTGAATTACAGTAAACTTCAGGAATAGAATTACGTATGCTTACAAAAAAATTAGCCGTACCGTCCAGTGATTTTTTTAAACTTAAACTCTGACCATATTCTTGGGGCTAAAAAAACTAAAGTTTATTCTCGAGATAAGAAGAAAAATTAATTAAATAATCCCATTTTTAATATGTGTCCGAAAGACAGAAATATTTAAAAGAATAAAAAATAAAGCAAGGTCCTCAGAAATTAAAACAACCATTCGTTTTCAATACAAGTTCTTACACCACCAGTCAGATGGGTGGGTAAAAAGTGTTTCATCGAGCATAGCATGTCGTTAAGCATATCGAAAAGCAATATCTGAATACCTTAAGGTACATGGGCATTTCCGGCAAAAAGTTCAAAGAAAGACCCCATTTATCATTTTTTCTTCTAGTTTTTACCATAAATCTAAATGCAGATACTGCAGAAATAAAAAATATCGCATGAGAAAAATCATTCGCAAAAAAGGACAGGCCAAATATTAAAAGTATAATAAAAATGTTTGATATTTCGTATTTATGAAAAGAATATTTAAAGTTCACAATTTTCACACAACTCACAGAGTTTTCCCATTATTAGCAATGATGACTGAAGACATGTATATTAGAATATACTTTTGTGACCTTTATCACAAAGGATAAAAACCGGAGGCTTTCAATTTATAGTACTCTTAAAGTTCTACAAAAAAGTAATTGCATTTGATCTATTTAACATTTAAAGTTGTATTTTGCCTCCGAAAGTCGTGGAAGTGCCCAAATGTTACCTCCCCATTCTCCATTTCAAATTCTGAAGTTGTTCAACATATCTAAATTTTTTGGAAGGCTTGTAATTTTGAAAAATGAAAAATGAAATTTGTTGTTTTTGTAATTAAAGAAATCCGTTCCTTTTACCATTTTTTTTAAATTAACAATTTGGAAAATCCGTACTGATTGGATTTAGTTTGTTATGGAATAATGGTTAACATTTTGGATAGGATTAAATTAATAAAGGGTTCTCCATACACAAATTATCATGTTGTAAACAATCAGTGTTGTAAACGGTCAGTCAGAACTTATTTACCCTCCACCAAGAGATGGACATTCAAAATACCAAAGATTGATCAGGCCTTCCAGATGAAAGCAGACATTCAGGTTGGGCTAGGACCTTGAACACACCGTAAAATGAAGCTTGGCGCTTGGGGAATATATCCGGAATCCTCAAAATACAAAAGAGTTACCTTTATATTGTTGATAATTATTTTTGCTAGGTTTGCATTACAACACATAGCGATATTCTAGGTGTTTAGAATATCGCAGCTGTTCTGACGTCAGTAGCAAACAACAAAATCAGTAAATTCCACGGCACTCTCAAGAATCACTCAGTCTACTTATAACTAATTCTGCGAAAAGTTCTTGGTTGGTACTCTCTTAGATTTTAGATTAATTAAATCAATAATTAAAGTCAAAAGATCATTTGGTTTTGAGTAATCATATGCGCCTGATGTACAAATATAGTGTGGAACTAATTTTATGAATAGATATACTATACTCATATTACTATGAGTCTAGATATATTTACTCGAAAATTGGTCAAAATGTACATTGGTCAAAGGATTTTTATCACCTGTAGCTTCGAATTAAATCCTTTAGAGGATAGGACATTTTCCGTAACATTTTTTGAGCTTATTGTCGCCATTTCCACATGAACATGTGAGGAAAGACATCGGTAGGGTTTGATAAATGTCCCTGAGAAAATTAAATATAGATAGAGTGGAATACCGAAAATTAAACGAGACCTTTGTATGGCGGTTCACCATGAAAACGGAATGCCAATATATACGATTAGAACCTTCAAAATACCAAAGTGGGCAGAGACATAAAATGGGGGTTATGTCAACACATGACCCTACAGTGAAATATATGTTAAATAAATCTTTCATGCCTCGGTTGTAAATGCGGTGTAAACCTTTATAACTCCAAAAATGGGCAATTCCGTTACATTGAGGAATATTTTAAACCGTGGATCAAAAAATACTTAGAAAATATTTCGAAATCGCGAAAATTGAAATTTGGGCTATAAAAATCTCGTTCTTACTAACGAATTGTGAGAGGACTCAAATTTTGCGTTTTTTATGGTTCCAGATAATGGTAATGATAAATTATCTTCAACGCTGGTATTAGCATAATCCATGTTACCACAAATCACAATTTAATCCATGAAATGTTTCTGGATATGTCCGGATTTGGAAAATATGGACCTGGTTGGTGGTTTCAACTGGATAGCCCCACACAGCACATAATCGATTTATTGAAGTTTAACAAAACTGTCTTTGTCGGAAACCCATTAAATGTTTATTTAGAAGATATAAAAAATAACATACAGACCCCACATTTATTAATAAAATTACATAAATCTAAATCACCAAACTAACACATACATCGCCACTAAATTTGTCTTGGGTTTCAGCACAAAACATTTAAAAATGTACATTCTTATGAACTTCCGTTTCGATCATTAATCTTCAGGAAATTACAAAGATTTCTGATAAGCGCCAGCTCAGCAGATTGTTCCACAACCCATAATTCAAATCTATTTACCAAGGTCATATTTGAAATATATGAATTCAAGCCTAAAATATAGAATCAGCAAGACAGTAATGAACACAACGACAACAACAACACCATTTGATTAGATTCAATGATGCGTCTAATGAAATCGTTGATCTCACCAAGAATCTAAGTAGGTCTCATTGATAAAGTTGGCATTAAAAAGTGAACTCGGTATTAAATAATCAGTTTTGAACAAACAAACGCACATAGATACATACATGTATTTCAATTATATTTTTAAAATTAATATTTTCGATTTCACTTGAATATTAAACTATAACAAACCAGTAAGGAAAGTTCGAATGTCGGACGGGCCGACTATATGATACCCTCCACCACTTTGAGATGAGATTTTCATGGACCATTTAAATGGAATCGGACGATATTAACTGTGTGAACTACATAGATTTTTGAACTAGTTTAAAATAACCCGTACGGATACCATTGTGAAACCTATAAAATGTCAAATTTCATGTAAGGCGAACAAACATATATATGGGAGCTATACATAAATCTGAACCGATTACAAACTTAACACAAAGCATTCTAGACTGCAAAATTTCGAGAATATGAAACAAAATGTAGTACAAATAAATCTAAACTTAATTCTATACCCTCTGAGAAATTTCGTGTAAACAAAAACATGTCTCTTCGTACAAAAAATAACTATATATAATATTTAAATCTTAAAAACTTCTTCTGATTTCAAATTTCGTGTAAATTGAAAAAATTCATAGTCTCTTTGACGAAAGTGCACCCTCTACATAAATATACACAAAGACATGTACCCCAGTGTGGCGAAGGGTATGACTAACTTATAGGTAGTCCTCATAAAATCAGAAATGAATAATTAAAAAGACCTTCAAAACTCTATAAAGTAGTTCATTCTCTATGGGGCCTATATCAAAACTCGAACCGTTTTATCTAATTTTGAAGATATACATATATACAAAAATAAAATCCTCTACTCGACCTTGACCTAAAAAAATATTCCCTTTTTCAATAATAAAATTAAATACATTTTTATTCCTTATACTCTTTAGGGCTCATCAAATGATGAAAATGTCGAATTCATCGATGACATTCAAAGATTGAAAAGAAGCAATAGAGGCTAGTAAGTAGATCATTCTAAATAATTTCACAATAGTAGATTAAGCCCGAACTTTCTAAAATGACTCAATTTTCCAGTATGAGAGGTCAAACTCAGTCACAGTACTTAAATTTTGGAAAACCTGAACAAGATGGCAAAGCTGAAGCAGAAGCTAACGAAAGTGGTTCCCGATCAACAGTATGTAAGTTGAAATGAAAACTAACAAATGTCGGCCAGATTGATTCTAACACAGTCAATGATATTTTCCAGCTGGAAGTCACGGTATGGGCCAAGCTCAGAGTCAATTCTCTGTAGGCGATTGTGGTGAATGTGGAGGCAGCAATGTATATGGTAGGTTCGGACATATGCCTATTACTTAGTCTAGAATTTTACATGGTCTTTAAATTCCATAGATTATAATGCTGGTTCACCAGATCCATTGATTTACGGTGGAGGAGCTGGGGCTTATCAACCAACGACAACATACACAGATGGTACACCATCAACCCTTATTGGCAGACCAGGAGTTGGACAATACGATACCCAAGGTAAGGGTAAACCCCGATAGTAGAAATATTTGCTTATTAATGACATACATTTCGTTGAGCAGGACAAATCTTAGCACCTGGTCCACAAGGTCAATATGGAATTCCAGGTAATTTTAACACAAAAATCGTAATTTTAACAAAAAGCTGATTATTTTTATCACAAAAGGTACAACATATGGACCTGGAGCTACTCAACAAGGCGCAGATATTGGAGGCACTGGCCAACCTAGTATTGGTGATGTTGGACAACCCTCGAGTGGCCAAACAGGTTTGGCTCCACAGGATATAGTCTCCGGGCAACCGAGTTATGGATCAGGACAACCAGGCATTGGATTTGGACAACAAGGTGGAGATCAAACACAACCAGGCTTTGGTCAACCTGGTTATGGTCAACAAGGTGTGGGTCAACCAGGATATGAAGGTGCTGGTCAGCCAACAGGACAACAAGGGGCCGATCAACCAGCTTATGGAGGTGTTACACAACCTACAGGTCAACAAGGTGTAGGTCAACCAGGTTATGGTGGTGTTGGTCATCCTTCCGGACAACAAGGCTTTGGACAACAACCAGGATATGGTGATTCAGCTCAACCCACAGGACAACAAGGTACAAGTCAGCCTGGCTTTGGTCAGCAACCAGGTTATGGTGGTGTGGGTCAACCCACTGGGCAACAAGGTGTTGGTCAACCTGGATATGGTGGTGTAGGTCAACCCACAGGACAACAAGGTGTTGGTCAACCTGGATATGGCGGTGTTGGTCAACCAACAGTACAACAAGGTGTTGGTCAACCTGGATATGGCGGTGTTGGTCAACCAACTGGACAACAAGGTGTAGGACAGCCCGGGTATGGCGGAGTTGGTCAACCCACAGGACAACAAGGTGTAGGACAACCAGGATATGGCGGTGTTGGTCAACCCACAGGACAACAAGGTGTCGGTCAACCAGGATATGCTGGAGCAGGTCTACCTTCAGGGCAGCAGGGTTATGGTCAACAACCTGGATTTGGAGGGGTAACACAACCAATTGGACAGCAAGGTTTTGGCCAACAACCAGGTTATGGAGGAGTTACGCAACCCACAGGACAACAAGGTACAGGTCAACCAGGTTATGGTCAACAGCAAGGTCAAGGACAACCAGGTTTTGGCCAACAACCAGCCGGACAACAAGGTGCAGGTCAGCCTGGTTTTGGCCATCAAACAGGAGCTGGTCAGCCCGGATATGGCGGTGTTGGTCAACGAGGAACTGGACAACAGGGTGTCACTCAACCGGGATATGGTGGTGTCGGACAAACTGGTTATGGCCAACAACAAGGAACTGGACAACAAGGCGTTACTCAACCTGGATACGGCCCACAAGGTGTTTCTCAACCTGGATACGGCCCACAAGGTGTAACTCAACCAGGTTTCGGCCAACCTGGACAACAACCAGGCGTTGGACAAGTAGGTGGAAGTCAACCTGGCTTTGGCCAACAAAGACCAGGATTCGGTACAGCACAACCTGGTGTAGGACAACACTCGTATGGTCAACCCGGTCAAGGCCAGCAAGGTATTGGTCAACAAGGCTACGGAATTGGTCAGCCAACATCCCAACAAGCAGGATTTGGTCAAGGCGGCGCAAGACCGGGATATGGTACCCAAGGTGTGGGCCAAGCCGGAAGACCAGGATATGGACCGACTATCGGTGCACAAATTGGTGGTGGAAGACCAGGATTGCTTCAACCAGGACAGCCTACAACCGGAATGGGTAGACCAACACAACCTTCTCAAGGAGTATCTAGACCTGGATTTGGACAAGGTCATGTAAGACCAGGATATACACAGCCACAAGGTAATTACTCACAACATTTTCCATGTATTAAAGCGTACCCTGAACCTTCTGCCAATCTTATCAAAACTGATATTGATCAAAACTGTTCGATAAAACATACACAAATTTCTACATATAGGTCCTGGAACCGGTCAATTTGGTGTTGGTGGACCACAAACGGGCGGTGGCCAACAGTATGTACCCGGCCAACAACTCAGACAACCAGGTACATATTCAACACTTAAATAATTGAATAAATGTCCTAAAAATCGTTATTTATATTAAAGGTTTGGCTCCTCAACAACCTGGAACAGGTGCAGGTGCTTCACCAACATATGGACAACAAGGAGCTGGTAGAATACCAACCACTCAACCAGGTTATGGTCCTCAACAAATCGTACAGCAGCGACCAGGTCAGCCTGGTTACGGTGTACAACAAGGTGTTGGAAGCCAACAAGGTCCAGGGACAGGTGTACAACCAGGATATGGAACTGGCGTTTACCCAACTGGAACTGGTGCTCAGCAAGGAACAGGCGTTGGTACTGGCGTCGGAGGTCAACAAGGAGTTGGAGGTGGTTACCAACAAGTTGCCGGAACTCATACCGGCTACCAAGCTGGAACTGACTCTGCTTACCAAGCTGGATCTGGATTACGCCCTAGTACAGGAGTACAACCAGGTACTGGAGCTGGCTCTGCAGTCCAACCAGGAGCAGGAGGTGTTTATCGTCCAGGTACTGGTGTACAACCCAGTGGCGGAGTTGGTTATCAACCCGGAACGGGTGCACAAACCAGACCCGGTGCAGGATATCAGCCAGGAACTGGAGTTCAGCAAGGAACTGGTGCTGCTGGCTATCCAGCTGGATCCGGAGTCCAACCAGGCACTGGGGCTACTTATCCAACAGGCGCAGGAGCAGGAACTGGAATGGGTACAGGAGCTGGAACACAACCAGGCATTGGAGCTCGTTACCCAACTGGAACTGGAATGGGAACAGGTGCCGGTGTACAACCTGGTGCAGGAGCTGGATATCCAACAGGAACTGGAATGGGAGCAGGTGCTGGTGTGCAACCAGGTGCAGGTGCCGGATATCCCAGTGGAACTGGAATGGGAGCAGGTGCTGGTGTGCAACCAGGTGCAGGTGCCGGATATCCCAGTGGAACTGGAATGGGAACTGGTGCTGGTGTGCAACCTGGTGCAGGAGCTGGATATCCCACTGGAATCGGAATGGGAACAGGTGCCGGTGTACAACCTGGTGCAGGAGCTGGATATACAACAGGAACTGGAATGGGAGCAGGTGCTGGTGTGCAACCAGGAGCAGGTGCCGGTTATCGACCAGGAAGTGGTGTTCAGCCAGGAGCTGGTGTTGGAGCCGGTTACCCAACAGGAACAGGTGTTCAGCCAGGTGGTGCCGGCAGTGGATATCAACCAGGCGCAGGTG